GTGTAAATAATTTCGGGCTTGGCTGTATATATAATCATCGCTTGTTTTCATCCATTGTACTTCTTTATTTTATTTAGCTTGACTTATAATGTTTACATTTGTTCATTGATCACTTACACATACAGCCATTTCAATAGTATTCAATTCAGTAGTTTATGAATATGAAGTTTCACAATGGGCTTAAGTTAGTCACGTGAATATGCTTTAAAAGTTACTTTCTTGTCAACTTTGCTTAATACATTGCTAAATAATTGACAAAAGACAATAGCACTTATTACTATTTAGCCAACATTTTGTTTTGTAGTGTGGTAGATGCATTGCAGCAGACTGTTGCTGTTTACATAGGATAAAGCAAATAAAACTCAAATATTTTTTTTTGGAAGTGAAAAAATTAAAATGGTTCGTCTATTTACTTTTGGTGTTGTGTCATGTTATAGTGCATTGCAAGGGTTCCATATTCCATTGTTCTGTGATCTGAAATAGTACTAGAACGCTGTATTCAGTATGTTAGAAATAGAACGAGGGAGCAGTTTGCTTTTGGTGACTTGATGCATTACATTGCAATCATTCCAAATCCATCTGTACTGATGTTGGAATGTTGAATGTCAGACATACTGTAGAATGGTGCAGTAGCTTACTGTTAATGACATGTTGCATTGTTGTTGGAAGCAGTACAACAACATGTATTATGTCAGAAATAGAATGTATTATTATTTATATCACGTTATTTAAGGATTGACAGCACATGGCTTAGTGGTTAGCATGCACAAGACTTTTGGCCAGCGGAGAAATTAAAATGGTTGTGCCGAACTGAGTCTGGTTCTCTCAAGGTTTTTTTTCTTCACTCTCCTATCGGTGAAGTTTTTTTTCCCCTCTCCGCTGTCGCCACTGGCTTGCATGGTTCAGGATCTGAAAAGCTACTCATCGATGGATTTGCTCTTCAGTGTTTGGACTCTCAGTAATGACATCAAACCACACTGAACTGAGCTAAACTGAACTGAACTTAAACACTAAAAACTGAACTACCCTGATCCAGTTACTATGACCATTTATGTGAAGCTGCTTTGACACAATCATTGTAAAAGTGCTATACAAATAAAGCTGAATTGAATTGAATTGAATTAGCACTGTCGCCTCACATCAAGAAGGTCACTAGTTTGAGTCCCAGCTGGATCCAATTTGCATTTCTGTGTGGAGTTTGCATGTTCTCCTTGTGTTGGCGTGGGTTACCTCCAGGTGCTCTGGTTTCCCCCACAGTTTAAACACCTGCGATATAAGTAAATTGGATGAACTAAAATTGGCCGTAGCGAATGACAGTGTGTGTGAATGTGAGAGTGTATTTGTGTTTCCCAATACTGAATTGCAGCTGGAAGGGCATCCGCTGTGTAAAACATATGCTTGAATAGTTAGCGGTTCATTCTGCTGTGGCGACACCTGATAAATAAGAGACTATCCTGAAGGAAGATGAATTAATTATTTAGGGATTTTTTTGTGCAGTTCTTTGCACAGCACCAAATGAATACTACAAAACAACTTAACAATGTCTATGATTTGTACTGAAATAAGTTAGCCTCATGTGGGCGTCTTTTCTAGTGTGTCCTTTTTGCTTGGTAGCGCACGTTGGACAATGTTAATCTTGCAGAGTCTGGTGAGCACGATTCTACAAAAAATATAAAAGCTATGTAAACTCAAGGTAAATATATGTGGTCATCGTGAAATTATCTCTTACGTTTGCTTTACAAAACATCCAATCAGTGGTTTGCTGGTCTAAGTAATCTGTAAGTCAAACCATCGCTTCTTGTGGACATGTACAAGAAGGACTTGTGTATGAAATGTACTTTACAACAAAACTAAGTAAGTGCTTAAGAAATCTATTTAAGATTCACAAAAATGTAGACATCACCCTTTAGTGTATTTGCCATCTGAAACATTCAATGAAATGTATGTGGAGCAACATATTTTATGTATAACAAAAATGAAGGCTGATGCATATATTTTCAATGAATAAGGGCTTTTACTTGTTACATGATGCTATTAATATTCCAAATCCATTAGGGCTTGACGATATGGCAAAAATTTATATCACGCTATATTTCTTCATTTCGGGCGATACAATTTAATTATGATATCAATATGGACAATATTAAAAAGCCAGGAAAAAACTGCCAAGAACGCACACAATAGATGTTTGTACCTACAAATGTCTGCAAACTGAATATGCAAAGTCTTTAATACCGCCAGGCTCTTATAACTTTTTTTTTTAAGTACAAAAAAAAATGTATGTTCACCTTTTATTTGTACTTAGCCTTTGCAAACAGATGAGTATATTTATAGTTCTGGTTGCTTTTCATCTTAAACATCGTTTAAGGGTTCTATCTGTCTATTTATTATTTATATTTGTGCATAATTACATGCTTTGAACATAGTATAGGTTTATATATGAGAAATTTATATGAGTATGAGTTTAAAATTCATGAGTTTAAAAATCATATCACCGTTACTGAAAAAAAATCTATCACGATATATTAATATTGAATTATTGTCAAGCAATAAAATTCATTTGTTCAGTTCTTAGAAGTAAGAGTATTTCAGCATAAAAAGTATTGATTTATTTATTTTCTTTTTAAGCATGGCATCACACCACTCTTGTCTACTGTAGACAAGATCTAAGGTTCTCTAGAAATACCATACAGTACATTCAAATGTAAATGTAATTACTGTTAGATTTCTTATCAGACTTCTTTATTGTTCCATTTCAAAAGAGCATTTCCCCTAGTACTAAATAGACTTGAAATGCCCTTCTGATTTGCTTTGACAAAGACTTCAGCATAACTCTAATTATTTAGTCTCTTTTTGTTTTAGAGACAAAATGAAACACTTGCATACACAGTAGAGAGTGCACGTGTTCATATAGGCAGTGTTTCAGACGTGTTCTCCTCACATGTAACAGAGAACACACTTGATGTTGATGCAGTTTCTTAAAATAGACATGTTGGAAATACATGTCAAGCTGACATGTTGCCAGACCTTAGACTAAATTACACTGAGGGCAGAAATCTTTTCCAGCGATACCTTACTTAATGTAATATATGTGACCCTGGACCACAAAACCTATGCCTTATGTTGCTGGCAGCTAGCTCTCTGCAACTCTCACATGGTTGCCCACTGAAGCTAAGCAGGATTGCACTCGGTCAGCACCTGGATGGGAGACCACCTGGGAAAGCTAGATTGGTGAGACCAGCAGAGAGCGCTCAACCTGCGGTCCGTGTGGGTCCTAACACCCCAGCATAGTGAAGGGGACTCTATACTGCTCAGTGAGCGCCGTCTTTCGGATGAGATGTTGAACTGGGGTCCTGACTCTCTGTGGTTGCTAAAAATTTCAGGATGTCCTTCAAAAAAGAGTAGGGGTTTAACCCCAGCATCCTAGCCAAATTTGCCCACTTGCCTCTGTCCATCATTTCCTCCTAACCATCCCCATATCATAATTGGCTTTATCACTCTGTCTCCTCTCCACCAATCAGCTTGTGTGTAGTCTGGTGCAATATGGCTGCTGTTGCGTCATCCATGTGGATGCTGCACACTAAAGTCTTAGCTGAGATCCAGCGTTCTCCAGCCTCCGGCGCCTAGACTGCAGCTCTGCACAAGACGTTTGGCCATAAGAGAAATGGTCGTGCCCAACTGAGCCTGGTTTCTCTCAAGGTTTTTATCCTTCACTTTCGCCAATTGGTGGAGTTTTTTTCTTGCCACTGTCACCACTGGCTTTCATATTTCGGGACCTGTAGAGCTGCGCATTGATAGATTTGCTCTTCAGTGTTTGGACTCTCAGTAGTGAATATTAAACCACACTTTATAATTCACATAAATAAACCACGTCTTTTATGTGAAGCTGCTTTGCAATCTATTGTAAAAGCGCTATACATATAAAGGTGAATTGAATTGAATTGGAGGTAGATGAGGAGATTCCCCTCAATTTGTAAAGTGCTTTAAGTGTCCAGAAAAGTACTATATAAATGTAATGAATTATTGTTTAGTTATATAATTGGTAATATCCAAATAATACATTTTATGGGTCAAAACGGTTGAATTGTCTTTTACGCATAAAATCATTAAAATGTTAAATAAAGTGTTCCATAAAGATCTTGTTTTGTATATTTCCTACTATAAAAATATCAAATAGTTTTTTGTATTCTCAGATTTCAGATATTCAAATAGTTTTTCATTCATTCATTCATTCATTCATTCATTCATTCATTCATTTTCTTTTAGGCTTAGTACCTTTATTAATTAGGGGTCACCACAGCAGAATGAACCACCAACTTATCCAGCTCATGTTTTACACAATGGATACCTTTCCAGCCACAATCACTGGGAAACTACCATACACTCTCATTCACACACATACACTACAGACAATTTAGCTTACCCAATTTACCTATAGCGCATGTGTTGGGACTGTGGGGAAAACCGGAGCACCCGAAGGAAACCCATGCGAACACGGGGAAAACATGCAAACTCCATACAGAAATGCCAACTGACATAGTCAAGGCTCGAACCAGTGACCATGTTGCTGTGAGGCAACAGCACTACCCATTGTGCCACCACGCAGCCCAAATAGTTTTTCAAACTCAGCCAAATGTTGTTATATATTAACAAAATATACATCAATGCAAAGCTTATTTATTGAGACTTTTTTTATTCCAGTTTGAAAATTGACACTTATGACTGGTTTTATGGTCATAGGTTGCATAATTGATGATGTTAGGTTGTGTGTATATTGATATGTATGTGTGTTTACATTAATTTGCTAATAACCTGATTAAAAAGGCAAAACACCACTGAATATCACGGTGATTCATTGTTTGTTATTCATATTGTGATGGACATGTTTTGGAAAAACCAAGGCACTGATTGTACTGATGTTTGTTTGCTGATTTGTGCTGCTGGGAAGCATAATAATCACCATGCTAACGCAATGTTGTTTGTGTTTGTCTTATCTTTAGCCATAACCAGAGGACGACTACATTCATCCATCCAGTGACAGGCCAGATCTCCACTGAGAACTCTGACTTCAGACTTCAGGATCAGTAAGTGTTCCTGTTTTCCACATTACTTTGCGTATTTCTGGTTAAGTTTTATTTACGTGCTGTCTTAAAGAATCAGCACAGTTGTTTGTTGGACTCCCCAACAATTCAGAAATATTATAATGAGACAAATGTACTTTTCAGACAGCTCAGGTCGTTTCTATCATGTCAATAAGGGCTTTTTTAAGCATGAGTGAACTGCATATGGGACCAAAATAATTACAGCAGCATTTTCTCTTAAAAGCATGTTTAGTTAAGCAATATCTTACGTCACTATGAGTTCAGGATCACACAACAGTTTAGTAGATAATTAATTAGTATTATGTTACATTTTAGACACAATATTTTCTGTTTTTGTCAAATATTACTAGCTATAATACAGCAGAAGTGCTTCTCCAATCAACACACATGAGTGGTTCATTTCTGAATGAATCTACTTTTGAAATTAATCGAGAAAATCAATGATTTAACTGCATGTTCAAAAAAGAAGAGCCATTTACTTTATTTCTGAATGAATCAGCCATTTGAATAAATCAAATTAATAAATGAGTCAAAGATTTAAATCACTCATTAGGACGTTTACTGACACATTATTGCTTCTTAAACTTTTTATTAAAAATAATTTCATATTTGTATATTTTTGAAACAGCAATAATTTGCATGCACACACAGACATGCACACCTGCACATAGCTTTCCTTATGGGTACTTTTATTATATTATATTCCACTATGCCAACCTTACCCCCTAAACCCAACCCTCATGGGAAACAATTTGCACTTTTATTTTTTAAGAAAACTGTCTAAAATAATTCTGTGTGATTAATGAGCCGTTTTCTTCAAGGGGACCAAACAATGTCCTCACAAGGTGAAAATTTACTAGTATTGCAATTTGGTCCATGCAGTGTACACAAGGTGTACAAGGTACACACACACAACCTCATAATTTATTCAAGTTTGAGTAATTTCAAGCCTGTATGAATTTCTTTCTTTCGCAAAATCGTAAAGATTGTGAAAAGATATACTTAGATGCTGTTGTAGACTAAATGAATAATGTAATTTTTTTTCTATTTCATCAGATGAAAAAAAAAATAGCTTTATTTTTGTATGTCTGTGATGTTTTTCACTTTTTAACACATCTTTATTAGGGGTGTGACGAAATCTTGTATGACGATATCTTGCAAGATTAAATTGTGATGAGATTTCTTGTCAAGGTGAAAAGTTATCTTGTGAGTTGTGAAGTTATGATCGAGCATGAGGGCGAAATTAGCATTGAAGACTAGTGGCAAAATTGGATTTGAACCCAGGCTGGCCTCGGTGATGCATGTGTCACTTGGTTGACCAGGTGGGTGTGACGTATCTGCTTTTTTTTTCACCAGAGTTCAAATGTTGCCGAATCCAACCGAGGCTACAACTGCAGCACAGACATTAACCATGACTCATAAATATGCAATGGAATAGCACTTTAAATATGCTGAAAGTCATAGTCGTCATAAACACAAACTGAATTAAAACATGTGGCGTTTTTCTATCCAGATTGATTTTATAGCACCATGTTACACTTTCTGACACCTTTCTGACAATCAAATATATTAACAAGAACTACAAGCCACGGCTGAAAATTGAGGATGATGTTCAAAATCAGTGGCGGTCTCCCAAACTAAACCGAGAATAGACTTGTCCTGAAAACATTGTGCCCACCACTCTCATTAGGTGAGGTTAATATTAAATTCAACAAATTGATAAATGACTATATGGACCCTATCATACACCCGGCGCAGTGTGGCGCAAGGCGTGGCGCAGTAGTCTTTTGGTAGTTTCAGCTTGGCGCAAGAGTCGTTTTGAGGCGTTGCGCTACGCTGTTTAAATAGCAAATGCATTAGCGCTCATTTTTGCGCCCATAGGCGTTCTGGTCTAAAAAGGAAGGTGTTCTGAGGTGGAGCGCTGGCGCGTTGCTATTTTGAGAAACTATAATAGATTTTTCATTAGACCAAAACTAACCCGGTCTAAACTCCGGCGCAGACTTGCGCCTCGCTTACACACTGCTTAATACGCACAAGAGAGCAATAGGCAAATATCTTTACATTTGAAAAAATGTAAATATTAAGGATATATAATATATAATAAGAATAGATATAGAATATAAATATAAAGGATTAAAATATTACAAAACATATTATTTTCTAGTCTACATAAATATGAAAAACCACTGCTTTTATGTCTTCTTCATCTCGGGAGGCTTTTTCAGTTCATTCATAACAATTTGCTTTTGTATAATGTTATTATCAGCAGTATTATTTATTATATCCATTTTTATATTTGTTTTATTAAAAACAAGCTTAGATTTGCCCACCTGTTTGGTTTTAGACCATAAAGGGCACAGCATGTGTTTTAGGATATAACTCAGGTTTTTGAGCACATTTTGCTATTATTATTCATTTATTCATTTGCTGGAAATTAGAACTGAATTTAGAAATAGTTTTGAAACGAATATTTGCGCTTAACAAACAAAGTTATTTATTTTTAGACTAATTGATGTCTGTGCGTAAAGGTTTCCCTATACAAGAGCGAAAGTAAAAGTGATCCATTATCTCTCATTCTCACACAGTAGATGCTCTGTTTAACAGTTTTCTGTTAAAAAACTGTTAACTGTTCGCTTGTGAAATGCTCATTTTTTTCACTTAGACTTACTTTTGCGCTCTGCGCATGGCCGTCAAAATAGAGCCCTATAAACTATAGCCTATGGTTGCTAGACTGTTGCACTTTTTTGTGTTGTCAATATGCTCATGTTTATATAGGCCTATTGTTGAGTGTGCAACATTTGTATATTTATAACCACATCAATGGAATGTGGGGCTTGTGAGTCAGTGGCATTGTAATTTTAAGGGGTTGAAATGTTTGGGACCCCTGCTCTATGGGATGGATCCTTACCCTGTCAAAATAAACTGGGATTCACAACAATGGATCTGCTTGTGACTTGTATTACAGTAATACAAGTTGTAGTCTTTTAATAGGCACATTCTGATGTGTTCTCTACACCAAAATTTGCAAATGCATTCCTTATAAGCCTTCCATCAAAAACAGTGAGCCATAATCACAGTTTGAGGCTTATAGCTTTACAATCCTGTATAGTTTGTTAAGATTACTCATGTTTTATTTGATTGAATCTTGTTGTAAACACTGACATGTTCAACAAATAGCTGAGTGCTGGTTAACAAGACTCGCTACTGAAATTCTCACACAGAACCTTCATACAGTTAGGATCTCCCGCGCATGATCTATATGTTGGCAGATGCAGAGCTGGAAAAAAAAAACGATACCCTTGACTTAAGTATCAAATGTCTCCGCTGGCATTTGCCAATAGTCTCACACTTAACAGATCCTCTTTTGGTACCGCCAAGCTGTAACTTATATTCCAGCTGTCTCATATGCGCACTTAGATTATTCATGCTTACCAATACAGAAACCCTTCAAACACCAAAATTGCATGTGCTCCTAATAAAAAACAAGCTTTACCATCTAGGCTGTTTCATGCTGTTAGGAGATAGAGTAAAAAATCTTTCAGGTTATGTCAGAAAGCGCAATAATAGTGTTACACAATCTTCACAGCTCCGCAGTTCTGCATTAGAGAAGTGTGTTTCAACAGCTGCCCACCAGTCTTATCTAACCTGGATCTCTCTAAAAGCAGAATATTAGTGCCGTATATCACAAAGACCGGGCCTCTTTTAGCGTCTGGCTGTGTTCTCCTGCACATCCTAATGGATGCATCTCATTAACAGCTGTGTGGGTGAAGCAGGCTTTCTGAGAGCCACAGGTTATATGCTGGAAAGAGCGGTTGTGTGCTGTACTGATCATATAATAACCAAACTACTATAGATTATGGAGAGCATGATAACCGATTATGCTGGATGAAAATTTATTTTTTATTTTTTTTGATGTCCTTCTTTGAAATTTTGACATTTTAAATACATTTTATTATAGACTGTTATGGAGATATAATTTTGTGCTGTTTTATGTACATTAGTTCCAAGGATACGGATTCCATTTATAGTGCCAAAAAGATGTGCTTTGTCACTTTTTATTAGATTTGGTTAACATATTTTAGTAATTTTAATACTTAAATGTGTTTAATTTTCATTTAGGATGTTATGGTTACTTATGGAGTGTGCTGTACATTGTGTTTAAATAACTTAAATGCGAACATGCCATTATAATGCTAATAAAGAAGCAAACATATTTGATGTTTTTGTATATTTTGTGTATTTTTTCTGTATGAGCTTATTTTCAGTTTTGATATGTTTTTAATTATTTTTATTGCAAGATTAGTAATAGTTTTTTTTTTGCAAGTTTTTGTGTGGATTGTGTTGCTTTAGCCACGTAAATGTAGATTTGATGCTAGCATAACATTAAAAAGTTAACTAACAAACAATTTTTTGGGCTAATTTTTTTTTTAATTAAAGTCAACGTTCAGCTTCTGAAATATTTTTTTTTAAAGCACCTATTTTACCTCTTTTTCAAGATTTAATATCAGACTTTTGTGTCTCCAGAATGTGTCTGTAAAGTTTCGGCTCAAAACACCCATCAGATTATTTAATCTACCTTTGTCTATATTGGAAATATGAGCTGTTTGACGTTGTAGCTGTATTTGTTGCCTATGCCTTTAATGGAAATGAGCTGCTTCTCCCTGCCCACCGTTACCCTGTGCGTGTCAGAGCCAAAGAGATCACTCACTATTGCTATGATGAGTGTAGTTTTTCCTACTGCGTCTCATGCAGAAGCAGCATAGTGACAGAAAAGAATGAAGCTGATCTCCCTTACTCCTGGAAAAACTTTCCCAGCGATTATTTGATGTATTTGTTATGGAGGTAATTCAAGCCTTTCTGCAACAATGAGTCACACACAATGTTATAAATTATGTGAGCATGCACGCGCTCACACACACACTGACACACATATGCGTGTTTAGCTTTGCACTGTTTTTGCACGGCAAATGTGACCGGATACA